AGGACACCCAGGTGAAGTGGCACAAAGAAAACCTGGCAAAACTGGTTAGGATGAGCCTCAGTGGAAACAGATGCAGGCAATGAAGAAACCATCCCTTAGAGCACCATGTTGTACTCCTAAGGGGTACATCAATCAACATTTGTTGATCAATCAACAATCTTTGTTGTTGTTCTTTTTTTTTTTTTTAAGGTGTCTGTACGAAGACGAAGACTGTTGTGGCCACTTTTTGTAGCAAAAGACTAACTTAATATGCTGACTAAAATCACAGCCTGCAAAGAGAGAAGGGACATGCTGATGGTTAAAGCTACCAAGACACTGTTAGAGGACTAGATAAGACACAGGAAGACAAAATTGGTGTAATTTTACCACATCACGTCTCAGCAAGAGTCTGTGGAGCCAACCAACCCCCAGAGCTACACACTAAAGATTTTGTTCTCAAGGCCACAGCCTGGTTTGCTGCAGAAGACAGTTTGGCCACACACTGTCATTCATGCAGCAAGGATGACTCTGTGATCAGAACAAAACAAGCTGAGAAGCTACAGGTTTTTTTTTGTTTTTGTTTTTTGTAACAGCGGATAAACTGAAAGAGAAAAGTGGAGGAAGGATGTATCCCTGTGGGACTTTACACCTAGTGACTTCAAAGACAGTTACCCAAATACCTCTATCGATCCTGCTTCAAGATAACTAGAATCTCTTTAGTACTGTGCTGTATATTAGAACATCAATAGCATTTTATAGGCAGCCACGTTCAAAGCAGCAAAGAGACTGCATAACATCAGCACTGTTATTTGGCTCTCAGAAAACGAACATCTTTTAGGCTGCACTCCAGCAGAAAATCTGCCTCTAAATTTGTGTCTAGTTGTCAGAGCCTCGAATCACCAGTAATAGAATTAGGGAAAGGATGCAGTACAAAGCAAACAGGCTGTTTGCAGAAGACATTGACTTCCCAGTAGCTAGGAACATAAGAAGGAAAAGTTCAGATGTTTAATTTTTATTATTATTTTTTTAAAAGACATAAAACAGTGATAGCAAGAACTACTTTCTTTTATTGCTCTCACTGAACAGTAGGACATAGCTCTCTTAAGCTTGGGGCAGCTTGAATATTGCTGATGGTTTCAGCGATTGACTACAGTTCCCATAGAGGTTACGCTTCAATAATGACTTCTTGACATCTCATTAAAAACTGTGTTGTCTTTTAAAAGTGAGCGTCTACACTTTAGAAGAATTTTGACTTCACAGGATGTGATCTCAGCAGTACCTTTCTGAACAGAGTAGAGTAACAGGGGAAAAAAAGACTTCTTGTTTAAATGGAATGAACAATTAAGTTATTAGATAGTTCATTATGTTACTCTTTTGAGTAGCATGAAGATATGAGGAGTCCTATGGGATTCAACAGAGAATGAGAACAGCAGATGAGTCATCTGATGAAGAGTCTTTTCCTTGCTATCTTTTTCTTCAGGAGAGCCACATGTAGAACCACTATCACTGTTTCTCTGTGGTATCTCAGCTTACATACAGGTATCTCCACTCAAACTAAAATCAGTAGAGGTGGCAACAAGTATTAGAATTTGATCCCAGAATCCATACTACATCTTACTTCACTTAAGAAAACTAGAAAAGGGGATGGTCTTGAAGATTTCTATTTGGAGAATCTTTGCATTTGGAAATAAACAAAATCTAAATAACTTCCAACTCTCAATAAGTTAATGTTAAAGCACAGGATGAGCTGTATGTGTTGCTAACAGATGGCTACCTCTGGGTAATGTTATAGGTGCACGGTCTCACAGCTCTTTTCAAAGCCACATCTGCATGGCAATGAATGATTCATACAGTTTCAAAGGCACAGCAGTGCTGAAAGTGGGGAGATTTTTCAAAAGAATCATGCCTCCAGGAACTGTCATTCTTCTCCACTCCCCTTAATCAGCCTTGCCCTAAAGGAAGGGATGTTTGGCATTAAGACAGTAAATATCCTCATAGATTCAAGATTTTATTTCATCTGATGCCCTGGTCTCTGCACTGGATGAAGTGTTTGGAAGAAATAGCATCAGTGAGCAAACAGCACCATGCAGACTCTTCCTCTTTCCCCTCTTAACTGCTACCCCAAAAGCTACTTTTATGCATTCCAAATTCTGATAATAAACCCATTTCTCCATATTGAGAATGCCTAGATTTAGATTTAGGAAATACAGGGTTTTTGTTTGTTCATTTGTGTGGTTTTTACTATTATGATTGTCTGTATAGGGAAGAAAAAACAACTATATCTGTACCTCAGATATTGTATGATTTGAATAACATGATTAACAATTCTGCAGAAGCTAAATGAAGTAGTAACAGTTACTCTCTTTTATATCATTGTGTGAAAACAGTGGGAAAATGATATTTCAAACACAGTAGTACATTTTTTATGAGTAGTATGAAAACAGTTTTCATCATGAAATTTTTCATCAATAAATTATTGATCTTTCCTCCAGGAATTTCAGGATTCCTATTTCAGACAGTGTATAATTCATAGATTTCTAACAATTCTGCAACTCTGCTTTTTGTTATTATTTTTATTTTTCACAGAGAAGCACAAGCTGTGAAGAGGACTTTGCACTACAGATACTATGTGAATATAGAAGAGAAAGTCTACAATATCTTGAGAGCAGAGACCATTAAAATAGATAAAAACAACAAAGGCAGTAGCTTGCTAAAAGTCATATAGCAAACCAATGGCAAACATGATAGTAATAATAAGCCCACTGTTCCCTAGTCCAAAAATCAACTACTGAGGAATGGATTTTTTTTCTTTACATAAAGTAAAATAAGCAAAACTCATACTGCTATAATGGAAAGGAACAGTATTTCCTCCTTAACAGTACATTTACAGCAAATGTGTCTGAGGAATCCCCAAGGTAATAACAGGAGTAGGTGACAAAAAGAGAAGGAAGTATTATTAAAGCTATCTCAAAGAACATGCTCATAAGACCCACAGCAGGCTTTGGAAACAGGACATAATAGTCAAAAATAAGGTTCTACAAAATCAAATTCAATGAATATTTGCTATTTAGGGATTATGTGAGCATACAACTCCAGTACTGTATCTCCATATGATGCAAAACAATGCAATATATTAGAAAAATTCCTTCTATTCAGTGGTAGAAGCATTACAAGTGATTCAGACTTAGTACCTCAACGTTTACTGAGATTCTGCTCTTGGTTAAGAAGTTACCTGCATTCTCCAGAGATCCTGCTGTGCGCTGTTATTTCCTGCACAACAGTAGCATATTTCTAAGTATTTCTCATATGATTTAAATATATCTACAGATCAAAAATAGATGTGACTGATTTTATAGAATGGGTACCAGAATTTAAGTATATTGAGTAGACTAAAAACTATATCAACATATTGAAATGCAGACATCTTCAGTGATATTGACACTATGCCTTCATTGAAGAGAGCTGTTTTAAATGTTTCCATGATTCACACAAAGAAATACATTAAATAAAGGTATAAAATCTATGATTCAAGGGTTATGTAATGTAAGGACACTGGTTTGCCTGTATAACCTTAATTCAACCTCATTCTTCCTGTGACAAAGGATTACTGGGTGAACTCATGCGTTTTGTGGGGGTTTATTTGTAACTCATTTAAACCACAAAAGCATGATGTTCAATGAGGCTACCCAGTATTCTTCCCCACAAGGTATGCCTTTTGTATTGCTATCAGAATGGCATCCAGACTTTGTATGGATACTGAACTACTATAATTTCCCTGGATGTTGCCATGTTGCTGACAATCTAGAGGAGAAGCTATATCTGAAAAGGGTATCTTAGATTCCATAGAGGACTACATGAAAAGAGCACTCACGAGTGATGCTGAACCTACGGCAATGAAATGCTTATAGGCACTTAACATACTATTGGAACTGAATGCTTCTTGTAAGAGCCCAAGTCCAGGGCATTTAGCTGGGTACTGAAAACATTAAAAAACAAACAAACATATTTTGAGTGCATCACCAGAAGGGTGAAAAGTAACCAGGAGTAGTCACCCAGGGTCAGAGCTCTGGGAGTCAGTGAATCAGTGCTGCCTGCCTTAAACTGCAAGGATTCAGACCTGTGAGTACTGAACAGAGCCTTTATCCACATTAGCCTACCAGAATGAATTCAGCACCAGGGCAAGTTCAACAGCATGCTCTAGTTCACACACTGTGTTAGCCCTCCCAAGGTAAAAGCCTTCATAGAGAGAAATTGTGCGAGAAGCGACATTCTAGTGGGATGAAATAACTTACAAAGAATTCTCTAAGGACCTGAGGACCACTGCAAACTTTGCCATCTTTTGAAGTACACGTTGCATTTCTTTAAAAACTCAACTAGATAGCGATAGGTTTTTGAAAATGAATGCAAATACGTTCTCAGTGAACTCCTGAGACTTTGCTCACATAAAAGTCCAAAGAGCAAAAAAGTTCCTCACAATGCATTCAGATGCATTAACCTCCCTTTTCTGCTTGAAGCACCCTGCTTTAATCATGGCATTCATCCAAATGTCAGTGAACAAAATCCACAACAATCACTTCATATTCCTTATTCATCTTCAGAATATAGTCCATCTTCTGCATCCAATCAATCAAGCTTTCTATTAAGGAAAACAAATCTCTCCCCCATGGAGTCACAATAGTCTATAAAATTCAAGGCCTTATTAAAAATATGAAGGTAGCTGAGTATGCAGAGGGAGAAAAAAAACCTTTAGAAAATGTTTATTTTTCTCCACAGCAAGAAAAAACAAGGTAAGGAAAAAATACTTCTGATATTTCTCGATTCAAGGTTTTCCTAAATGACTCCTAAAGAGGTTCCTTAGGAGTTCTACATTGTGTTACACATCCAATTCAAATTGTGAAAGTTTCTGAAATAAGCAATAGTCTTGCTACAGAAAATGTCAAATAATAAGTTAGATGGCCATCTCCACAAATAACAGAAACACTTTAATATGCAATTGCAATTCAAAATAAATATTAGCTTACCTGACCAGGAAGCGATGGAGCCCAACATCAAAACTTCTGTAAGAAAAAGATTCATCATGTTTTAATTATGAAAAAATACTTTTTAGTTGGGTGTTATATATAAACACAGTATTTCAAAATAATATTATCCAAGATAAATGTAAAATTGTCATTCATAAAACCTAAACAAAAGCAGCTTAGCATGCAATTTCCTTATGCAATAACGTGACATTTAAGATGATGACCATATGAAAAGATTTAGACTCACATCACACAAAGCTTACTTCCCTTGAGTATTTCTTCAGTAAAGCAGTAACATTCAGAGTAGCATAACGCACAGAGAGCATAAATTTTAATTACTGGAAATAATCTTTTATAGCATCCTGATGACCAGCAAGTATACTTGATTCCTGTCATACATATAGGTAGATCCTCTATCTATATACTTCTTCCCTTTGATGTGCTTTGTACTGCAAAAAAAGGCACAGAATTGCTTTGCTACAGAATAATCAGAGTCCCCTTATCTCTCCTTCAGATACAGAGACTACACAGAGATACAAGCCTTGCAAGAATGCTTGCAAGAATGTTACTCACAAATCTGGGGAGGAAAATAACTTTGATGACTTCTGACAAAGTACAAATTAAATCACCCTGAAGGACAAGAACTGTACCACTGTTTTTTCTCCTTTTCTGAGTTTTCTCCATTGATCTGCAAGCTCAGTAGGAACAAGCTTCTCAACCATGTACAAGCAAATCCTTGACACTACAGGAAGACTAAACATCTGTTTATATCAGAAGTGTACCTAATGTCTGAAGTACGTGCCTTTTCTATGGGACTACCAATACAATCCTAGATTAATAGTGTGCATAACAGTACAACTGGAAAACAAAAACATCTTATTTCCAGTGCTGCACTTGCTCTGAAACAGTCTTGCATTATGTCCGCAATCTGAAAGCAAATACTGTGTACTTGAGCAGCCTGTTCCAAAAAGACTAATTAGTCATCTGAATTCAATATGATTTTATTTTAGTACTATTGCAGTGTGCTGATTTCTACCTGAAGTATCAAGAGAAATCAGATACTGTTAATTAATGACACCTTGACAACAGAGGAGAGATGACGACTTGTAGGAATTCTAGGAGTTAACATGGAGGGCAACTCTAACAGATCAACAGGATAGGTAGTAGTGCATCAAATTTCTCTTGTAAAAACTGACCAGGATAGAGAAAGCATTCTGCAAGGGACATGAATGTAGTCATCATTAGATCTTTATTTTTCATTCCTATCCTAAAAGCGTTCCCAGTTTCATATTGTTGCTACATTACTGTGTAGTTACACTGTATAAAGTGCATCCTCTTATCTTTCTGCATTCCTCCTGCAGTTTGGCTCCCAGTCACCATTAAAATAAGCTGTGTTGTACAGAAGCCTTAAGCATCAGAGCTGTCCACAGTCCATATTCATAGCTCTGAAAGCCTACTGGTCTTAGGCCACACACTTCAGTGTTCTTGTACAGGGACAGGGAGAAGAGGAAGGTGGTACAGCTCCAGAGAATGATTGTATGGTAACCAGCTACCTTAAACATCCTCAGAAAAGCTCATCTTTCCAAGTACTACTGGCTACCTCTGATGGCAATGACCACATCTTCTATCTTCTTTATCTGTGGCTGAATCTTCTGAAGAGACAAAATAAATACTACGTGTCTTGAGGATGGGGATGTGGAACATGAATAAATCAACTTCTGACACTGACCTGAACGTTGAAGGACTTGGCTTAGAATAGGCACAGTAACTGAATGGTCCTGCTAACCTCAGATGTTCAAAGCTGATGCCCAGTGGGGTGGACAAAATTAAGGCAGAGTGGATTCAGATAGGAAGGGAGAAAGCAGCATTTTGCTGTAGACTTGCGTCATTTTTAACAAAATAACACTCCTATTAAAATATCTATAACATCACTATTCCATACTGGTTATGAAAATTATTTCCATAAAATCCACATTAAAAATAAACATGCACAGAATCAGTTGGGATAAATTGGGATAAATGAAAAAGGTAGAAGAAAGATCAGAGCCTCCCCTTAGCACAAATCAGCACAGACAGACAGTCCTCAGGTTGATGCTCTGCTGACACATTTCACCTGACTACATAAGATTCTCTATACTCCACTGTTTAAATAGTATTTTAAAGATATAACTACACAATGACAAACAAAAAGATGCATATTAGCATCAGAGTGTACATCCATATCTCAAAGACATCACAGGACAGTATAATTGGTTAGTTCCAAAAGCAAAACCAATGATAATGAATGGTCTCAAACTATACAAAAGAGCACTCAGTGCATTACCAGTAATCCACAAGGCTACAGATTTGAGAACATACATTTTTAAGCATCTATAGAGACATCTTGAGGCAAAAAGACTAAAAAAACCTGAGATTCCAGAAGGCTGGCTTTGACAAGACACTACCACACAGGCACTTTTAACTGTTCTGCTTATTCATATTTAAATACACACTGCTTTTGGCTCTACAAGAAAGTGAACTGAAAATACAGTGAGACAGCAGTAGCAACAGATCTGGTAGGGGAAATTACTCTCCCTGTTCTCAAACAAAAAAAATCAAAATGAAATAAGGTTTGCGTAACAGTTTCTGGACTGCAACTTGGTGATTAGAAAATAAGCAACTGTAATCATTAAAGAGAGAATAATCGCACTGCAACTGTATTAATAGCTTCATAAAGATTCCTTCAACATCACAGGAATCCACCTATGGATGGATGCCAGGATGCCCACCACAATTAACTCAGAATTAAGTCTGGCATATACACATGGACAATTATTCTATAAAGTGAACACATTTATTTGATACTATATCACAATTTACAATCAACTTCACTCAATGTTGAACTTGACTGCAAAAATAGGATTTATCTGGTAGCCCTTGCACTTCAGGGTGCCACAACTACATTGTTTCTTCACATATCCTTTTTGAATCCTATAAATAGCACAATTTTACAAAAGAAAAATATGTTTTAAAATAACAAGGGAAAGGATATCCACAGCAGTGAGTAAGAAATGATTTGCCAGCTGAACTCTATACTGCTCAAATGTCAGTAATATAACACGCTTCTAATTTTTTTTGAGATGTAAGTGGTTAAATCTAGTTTATCTAAATAGCAGCAGCAGCCTTTGAATGGGGTATCTTTTGTATCTTAGCTAGTTTAAGGGGTATTATTTCATTTCCACTTCATAATTTACAGAAGGAAAGGACGTCATCCAAGGGACCTGGCATTCAACAAAGTGTTGCATTTAGAATGGGGTAATCCCAGACATATACAGACCAGGAGAACTCATTGAGATCAGCTCTGCAGAGAAGGACTTGAAGATTCTGGTGCATGAAAAGTTTGACACAAGCCAGCAATGTATGCGTGCAGCCTAGAAGGACAGCAGTATCCTCAGCTGCATTCTGGGCTACATGCTGGGTCATATCCTGGCCAGCAGGTCAAGTGAGGCGATTGCTACACCCTCATGAGGTCCTATCTGGAGTACTGCAGTCACGCCTAGGTCCAAGATAGACATGGAACTGTTGCAGGTCTGCAGTACACACAAGGATGATCAGAGAGTTGAAGCATCTTTCCTGTGAAGAAACGCTGAGGGAGCTGGGCTTGTTTAGCATGGAGAATGAAGGCTCCGGGGGACCTCACTGTTGCTTTCCAGTTCTTAAGAAGAGCTTACAAACCTGATGGAAACCGACTTTTTACATGGGCAGGTAGTGATAGTACAAGGGGGAATGGTTTTTAACTAAAAGAGGCAAGATTTAGATTGGATGGTAAGAGGAAATTTTTTACTCAGAGGGCAGTGAGACACCAGTACAGGCTGCCCAGGGAAGCTGTGGAGCCCCATCCTTGGAGGCATTCAAGACTAGGCTGGATGGTGCCCCGAGCAGCCTGAGCTGGTGAGTGGCAACCCTGCCACAGCTGGGAGTCAGAACTGGAGAATCTCTGAGTGCCTTCCAACCTAAGACATTCTATGATTCTATGAGAATCACTGCAGGCAATTTGATATTTTCTTTATTAAAAAACGTCCATATCTGAAAGTTTACATTTTGAATCATAGTTCTGTAGGCAACTTTAATGCTTTTGTTAAGCATGGAAGTTTTAGCTTCTGATATATTTCAGCAGATTATACATATAATCCTCCACAATCAAATGCATCTTTTCCCAGCATCTTAACTAGAAATCAGTGACTAACAGTATACGCATGCTATTCCTACAAGGTCCTTTTCCAAAACAAAATCTTTGAAATTTGCAAGCAAACACTTCTGTCCTCAAGGTATGATTAAAAAAAATGATTTCACAGAGGTGTGGTGTCTGCTTGGAAAGCTAAAAGCACAACACAACAAGCTGTCTCCAAATTTGCATTCAGCACAAAGCTTAGAGAAAGAAAAAAAAGAAAAGGTAGAAACATGCTGATATGAACCACAGTCAATAGCAAAAGCACATTCATTAAAAAAAATGCAATTCTGATGACTCCTAGAAAAACAAGTACAAAGCCTCTCTTTTCATCTCTTTATGTGACCCTTTCCCATATAACTTTTAAATCTACTGAAGTTATGCCACCTTAAGTTAGTCAAGGATCTGGCCCCACGTCTACATTATCACCACAGCTCATTAGCTGTGCTAGGCACCACTGATCATGACTCCCTTTGACTTGTTAAAAGATCCCATCTCATGAGGTTCAAGTCTGAGATCCCATTCCCAATGATTCACAGCAGCGGACAGGAATCAAATCCATGTTGCCTAAGGAATAGGAAATAATTACTTTGAGAAGCAGAACGCCCTGACAGGTTCCTGATGTGCCCCCATCAAGGCACACAGGTCTAAGGGCAAAAGAAAAAGCCATTCAAACCTATTTGTTAATGGTTGCAATATAACATGTGAAGAAAACTAACAGGGAAAACAGTTTCTTCTGCATCTAGACAAGGCAAGATATCGAGGTTACAATATATCCAACCTTACTGAAAAAAAAACCTGCAGATCTTTGCTACAGAAAACAAAGTAC